GCATTTCATTCCCGTTCCTTTATTTTGTGTTCGTGAAACAATGTAGTCAAGTTTTTTTTATCCCCATGCGTTCCCCACCAGTGTCCTATTCCTGTAACATGTGAATGACATGTATGTTGAACTTCTTTTGCACCGTACGTAGCCAATCGGAGGTGTGCGGAGCGGGGAGTGACAACAAAGTAAACACACAAAAACAGTTATACAGAAATTTGTTTTTACTTTCGATTTAAAAGCGCACAGCTCCAGCGGCTTCCAAATATCGGAAGCGAGAGCGTTCCAGACGGCCGCAGAAGCGCATCTGAAAGCGCGCGATATGGTGACCGTCTTTAGGCACTTACCAACACGTACCAACATTTACCAACAACGCTTACCAAGATTTACCACCACTTACCACCACTTACCAACACTTTCCTTAACAGTACGACAAAAAAAACGGCCAAAGTATGAACACGCAAGCGGAACGACCCACGAAAGAGATAATTTACCGGATAAAACTCTCCCAACTCCATTGGCTTGGACGCTTGATGAGCAGCGCTGTGCTCTTTTGTCCGAATATTCTTTGCAATCAGCAGCAGTCTAATTACCGTCAAGAATAATGAGGCATGAGGGCCATATTTCAATTGCGCACAACACACACACACAAACCCCTCCAAATCCCCGCTGTAACGAGTGCACGAGGTTCATTAGCAGGCAATTTGGCTAATTGAGGTCTCCATAGTAACAAATATCCTGCACTTATAAAAAAAACACAACGCTCGAACTTGGTTTAGCTGAAGAGGCAACGGGCAAATCGTCCATCAGGCTGCCCGTGTGCGTGTGTGTGGGTGTGTATAGTGTGTGGGGGTGTGTGGGTGTGTGTATGTGTGGGTGTGTGGGGGTGGGAGGGGTGTGTTGGTGGGGTGTGGGTGTGTGTGTGTATGTGGGTGTGTGGGGTGTTTGTGTGTATGGGTGTGTGGGTGTGTATGGGTGTGTGGGTGTGTATGTGTGGGTGTGTATGTGGGTGTATATGTGTGTGTGTGGGTATGTGTGTGTATGTATGTGGGGAGCGGTAGTGTAGCGGTTAGCGCGCTGCGCTATGAACCTGGCGACCCGGGTTCGATTCCCGCTCACGGCTAACACCAGTGACGATTATCTGAACCGGTCCTGGGCCTCCCCTAGGTCGACTCAGCCTTAAATGAGTACCTGGTGCGGTGTGTAAACATCGCCACTAGGGAGACAAAGGCGGTCGGGCGTGGTGCTGGCCACCCACCCCCTCGTGTACCGTTCCGGCCTTCATAGGTGCTCGCTAACAGCACTTGCCCCTACAGTCTGTTCAGGCTATACGGGGGATCTTTGTCTTTGTATGTATGTGTGTGTGTATGTATGTGTGTGTATGTGTATGTGTGTGTATGTGTGGGTGTGTGTATGTGTGGGTGTATGTATGTGTGTGTATGTGTGTGTGGGGAGCGGTGGTGTAGCGGTTAGCGTGCTGCGCTACGAACCTGGCGACCCGGGTTCGATTCCCGCTCACGGCCAACACCAGTGACGATTATGTGAACCGGTCCTGGGCCTGCCCTAGGTCGACTCAGCCCTCAAATGAGTACCTGGTACGATGTGTAAACATCGCCACTGGGGAGACAAAGGCGGTCGGGCGTGGTGCTGGCCACCCACCCCCTCGTGTGCCGTGCTGGCCTTCATAGGTGCTCGCTAACAGCACTTGCCCCTACAGTCTGTTAAGGCTATACGGGGGATCTTTGTCTTTGTATGTGTATGTGTGTGTGTATGTGTGCCAGTGCAGCTTGCGTGTGGGGGAATGGTTACGATGTCGAGGCCGCGCCATGAGCGAGCCGCGAGGTGCGGGATCCACGTGACTTCAAACGTCGCGGGCCGCGCGATGAAAATAAAATAAAATAATGAAAATAAACGCGTCCGTTTAATGCTCCCAGATGCGAGTAGACGCGCGCAGATTCTTTACAGCTGCTTTGTAATTAATTTTAAAAGCGTGCGTGCCAGTGCACAGTGGAGCGTGTTATTCTGCCCGGCGTACGACAAGCGGCGTTATAAATGTCCCGAGTACCGAGCCATTAACAAACAAAGAGCGTGGATACATCCATAATACAGGTTTTTTTTTTCGTTGGGTTAGAGCGCTTAAATATGTGTCGTTGACCCCGCCGCCACCCGACACAGCCAATTAGTGAGATTTGTCACGTGAACAGACCGTGCCAATATGTTGTCTGTGTCGGGTGGTGGTGGGTTTAACGACACTTTTATATACTTACGCGATCTAACCCCCAGAAACACCCCCTGTATTATGGATGATATTGGTCGCGAAAACATGCGTGTTGAGCATGCTTACAACGTACGCTTCGGTGTATTGATTACGCTGGCGAGATGTTAACCACCTCGCCTGGTGTACAGGAGGTCGTGGGTTCTCCCCGGGGAGTTTGCACGCTCTCCCCGTGGTCGCGTGGAGTTTACAATCAGCGTGCGTCTCGACTATTTGGCTGCTGCTGCTGCTGTCAATTTTCACGTGGTAAGCCCACTTGGTTGAGCGATCATTTGCAATAGCCAAGCTCGCTTCTTCAATAGAACGATATAACTCAGTGGGACCTTAGCTGGTAAAATAAAAAAAATAGTTTAAAGTTGAAAAGACAACGGCGAATGCGAAACTGGCTCATGGGAGCTCACGCCCTGAGATCACACACATCCAAAATCTGGGTGCTGCACATTTTTTTTAACGAAAACAAAATGTTTCTGTCGTTGCTGTTACCGCTACTTGCGTGGCTGTCCCCCCGATCCCCTGCATGGCACCATCGCCTTCAACCCTCCGTGTTACACTACCTCCCGCCTCTACGGGCTGGTCACATATTTCCCTGCATGCACTCAATCTTATCAAATCTCGGAAGCTCAGCCGGCATTTTGAGCCTGGATAGATTTTTTTTCTTAAGCCGGTGACCTCTGAACTGTGAGTTGAGCGTGTTGACCGTGGGTTTTAAACACTTTCCAGACAGAACCGGAACCTGCGTGCCCAGAGGCGACGTCAAGCTGCTCGAACGGACACTGCCAAATGTCTCTTCCTGCACGCCGTGCCCAGGACTCCGTTACAATCCATTCAGCATTTAGCATCCTCAGAGAAGCAGGCCACGTGGAACCAGACCCTTAGGGGCCGTCCATAAATAACGTCACGCGATTTTGGACGATTTTTTACCCCCCCCCCCCATCGTCACAAAAAGTCAGACCCCCCCTAAAATATGACGTCACTAAGCTCTGCCCCCCCCCCCAAATAAAACTTCAAATCGCTTGAAACTATTGTCATTGTAGTGCGTATTTAATGTGGCGCTGCACTCTGTTGTAGGATAAACATTTATTAAAAAAATCTATTTAATTAAGTAGAACGTGTTGTCTATATTTATTTAAATTTGCGCATTTTGATGTGACGTCACATTTCTCACCCCCCCCCCCCAGCTCGTCACACATCGTCACAAATGCCTGACTCCCCCCCACCCCAGCAGCGTAATTTATGGACGGCCCCTTACAGGAGATTGACGCATTGGTGGCACGGGTCTTTGAGACTTTTTTTGGTTGTTCCGTGTGAACCTCTGGTGAACGCAGCACCGTTCCCCACTGACTTGTTGTTTGTATGTTGAACTTCTTTCGCTAATCGGAGGTATCTGGGGGAGGGGGGGACAAAGGATTTGGGAACAATCAGCTGTCTCTTCGGTTTTGGCCACTCTTTACGCAGAAGAGCGGTCACGGTGGAGTGGGTGAGAGAGAGAGAGAGCTGACTTGGGGAATGACTCGTCCCGAGAGAAACACCAAGATGTCTTCATCCTCTTGTTGTTGGGAACTCCACTTTCAGTCCCGAGAGCAAACACTCTGGAAATAATCTCAACATCCCCCCGAGTTACTTTTGGTGGCCTCACTCCCGGAACCAGGGATAATCCAAGCACTGGTGGAGGATCGGTCGCGGATTCCCAGTGGTGATGTAAGACAAGGAACCCCCGAACAGAGGTGACCCCGAGGCTCCAGATGTGGGTTCGACCAGCATTTTGATAAATCTGCGACGGAGGCGGTGACATTTTACGTTAAAAGTGTCACCTCGTGTCGGGCATTGGACGCTTTTCAAAGAATATGAACAATGCCGACCGCTACGGCATGAAATCTTTTCTACTGGTAGGAACCTCCTGGTTACACCAGCCCACAGGGGATTATCGTGTCCGTCCGTCCGTCGTGCAGGGAGGGGCTGGGTGGAGAGGGAGGGGCTGGGTGGGGAGAGGAGGGGCTGGGTGGGAAGGGGTGGGTGGGGAATGCTGGGTAGGGAGGGGCTGGGTGGGGGGTGGGAGGGTGGGGCTGGGTGGGGAGGGGCTGATCACCCCGTGGTGCCCTTATAAAACTCAACGTTTAACCTACTCACGCCGGCTTGTGCCCGCCCTCACAGTCGGGCATATTTGCGGAATACACCACGCCGCCGTTGACCCAGGCCATTGACCGAGCAACCCAAAGTTCCTACCAGCTCCCTCCGCAGGAATGTGTTCTAGCATTCCCTTTTTTAGTTTGTGCCTTTTGCTTTCGACAGGTGTTGGGCACAAATGTATAACCGTTAATTATATAGTACCTGCATATGGAAGATGTTTAAATGTCCGTCAAATACTTTTGTCAGTCGCAAAATAAACGACTTGGGAGTGTACGTTCTAATCACATACAACAATACCAGCCAGGCATCCTTCTAACAAATGGATAATTAACGTACAATACGTTTCATTGTAATGTTATTGGAGCTGTGTGAAAATTATTAACCCTGCGAACGAGTGCTGAACGGTGCAAGGGAGAGGACCAGGACGGGCTCAGATCACTCACCGCGCATGTTCGCCATGGGCCAGGAATCAAACTCCGATTAGCACGGTTGGCTGTGTACGGTGCAAAAGAAGTTCAACATACAGAGCATCGATATACGGAAATTAGAGGATGCAACAAGGAAGATAATTTTCCTGGAAATGTAAATAAGGCACACAATAACCTGATTTATTGTTACAAAAATGGCACATTTATTGCTACATAAATGTTATATACATACAGGAGTTTTGAAGTAACTACAGACAGAAACAAAGTTGAAACAGACTTGTTGACCGGAAACACGTAGGGTCCCAGCAATTTAACCATTTTTTTTCCACTCGGCTATGAATCTGAAAGGTTGGACGTGACGGAAATGCAAACACAGCTGAGCTCTCCAATTCCAACTTACTTTTACAATTAAAACAGGCTATTTTATAGGCACTAAACTAGCGATAAACTACACTGCGTATTTTTAAATTTTTTACTTTACTTACTACCATACGCCTGGCAATATCATTAACAATTTATGGCAAAATAACTAGCTTTGCTACCTACAGTAGTAAAATAAAGTAACAAACTTTTTTAAATTTTTTACGCAAACTTTTTTCGATTTCAAAAATCTAGAAAGAGTAATATCCTGCATTCCGGAAATTTCATACAAGATTTATGGTATAAAAGGCTAGCTACAGTGAAAAATAAGCCGAATGTACCTTTCTTTAACCTTAAGCACAGCTTTGCTTTCAGCGCATACCACAAAGTCTATATAGTTAATAGCAAAATCAAAATAGCGGCTTCAAACACGCTTCGCAAAACAAGGCTCTGCAATGGCACAACAACCACCCAGCCCCGTTGTTTTATCCTCCAAATACTGAAATGAACAAGGCCACACGTTGAAGTCATGTCTCGCAATAAAAGCTACAGTATGTACAGTACATACACCACTAAATGCTTTCTGAAGTGTACGAACGAAATAATAAAAAATATAATTAATGCACGGCACAAAGTCAGCACACAACCATACGGAAAGGGTGATTTTTTTTGCGCGTGCGGTCAGCCTGATTCCCCGTGTTAATTTTTGTTCTCCCGTCAAGCTACTCATGATGTTGATATCAACTGCTCCTTACGACATCTAGTAAACAAGCCAACGCATAACCTCCTTAATTGTTTTAACATGTAATAAAAAATGACAGGGCTTTTTAGTGATAAAGGTAGACACCCCCCCCCCCCCCAAAAACGTTGTTGTTGACGCAGTCTTGGGTTTTGTGCGATTCCTTATTGTCCAGTCTTGGGGAGGATTTCAACATTTCTCCGTTGGCCGTCGTGGTAATGGGCTACGTCTCGTCGCTTGCGTTCTAAAACGCAAAACACACAACACTTTGTGCCGTCACGGGCGCTCCGGCCGCGCTAGATGCTCCATGCCTACGCAAAATCAAATCGGGGCGCTGCTAAGTAGCACCACACTCCACTCGGCGAGGTGAAGTTTAACGTCCCGATTTAACAGCCACCGATGAAGTTGGAAGGGCAGGGGGGGGGGGGCACGGCAAGATGGTGATTTTTCTCCCTCGTTGATTAACACGTTAACGTATGTATGAACAAGACTGGAAGACGGTTAAGTATGGTAGTTGGCAAAACTAATTACGGTATGATACAATATAAAAGTTTTCTGCACTACGGGTGCAATGGCGATATGTTGCTGAAATGTAAAGTCTGAAACTGCCGAGTTTGCGAAGTCATTTCTTTTAACTGTAGCTGCTGGTGGATGGCAGCAGAAAAAATGACATCCACCATAAAATGTTTAACACAATTATATATATTTTTTAAAGGAACATGAACAGTAAAATAGGTATGTTTTATCCACTGAAAGACATTTGTCAAGCTTATACATTTTAATTTTCTTCCCTTTTTGTTGTTGTTTGTGCTTTGTTCGCAGATATTTCCATTAAGTTGGGTGCTGGATATGATGTGCTTAATAAAACAAGGTAACGACACGAATGGCATATAATTACACTCTGCAATAAAAATTTCACAGGGGATCGGAAAAAACGACTCCCTTTTTTTTTTTACAAATGCACTGTATACGTCTAGAAAACCGTAATAAAGAAAATAGTGTAGCACAAAGATAGAAAACATTTTCATAGAAATCAAACCGCAAAAAAATGACGATGCAACAATCGTCGAACAGAACCACAATTATTTGTAAGAAATACAATGCTATACCATATCTGTATGGAGCTCATCATCATGTCTGCTATTGGCTGGTGTCACATTTAGTAACTTTTTTTTTATTCATAATGTGAAGATGTGTAAATGAATGTCATAAGCTGATTGAGTTTTACACCATTTCACACAAAGTTTGTTACTCTGGTCAAATGGAATGGACAGTACAAAATAAATGTTCTCCCTTTTTTAGTTTAAGACAACAGGTCAAGATTTAGGGAATGCTGGGGTCAATTTGTTTTTTATATTTTTTTCTTTTTTTCTTTTTGTATACTTTTTTCTCATTTTTGTAAAACACCACTGGCACAAACCTCTCTTTGCCAGCAGGTTTCCTAACACACTAGGTGAACGAGCACGATAATTCATAAAAACTCAACACAGACATCCCTTTCAAAAGCATATTTTCCCCCCCCATGTTCTAAAAAAATCAAAATGTTTGTAATAAATACATTTATTACGACTACTGTGCATTTTAAGTCAGACTTTAATTTTTTTTAGGCACAATGAAACTCTCCCGCACAGCATGTGGGGGAGAATTGGCTGCCAAACTTCTGGCAGGCTGCAATCTTCGCTGGCAACAGAAGTTACTGGATATGTCAACATTCGTTGTGGGTCAACACACATTCTTGGGGCGTAGGGAGGGAGGTGATGAATTGGGTTGGAGGACTCCAGGTGGGTTGGGGCAGTGGGGGAGAGACGGGGAGGTGCAGGGGAGTTTGTCCTCTGCTCGTCTTCTTGGGCAGGTTGGGTGGGCAGCTGAAGACCACACGCAGCAGCAGCAACATCAGCAGCAGCTTGCTCGAGTGTTGTAGTACGTACGTGTGTCCGTGTAAGTGTGTGTGTGTGCGAGTTCGTGCACATATGGACAGCTTTTACAGCTTTGCAGCGTCGGAGAATTCAGAAATGGCCAACACTATCCACTGAGAACCTGAAAAAGAGGCGAGAGAGCAATCGAGTCACATGCATTTGAGGACGACAAAAAGCAAGCCTCTCAAACAGGCCTCAATTCACATCTCATTATATGTACGACACTTTTACAGGCTGTATGGCTAAGAGGTTTGACATCCCTTTTAAAATGTGCCTTTGGTTAACACATCGGATCACGTAATATTACGGTATTATAATTAAAGCAGTAAAGCGCAGTAGTGCTCCAAATGTTCGAATTGTGCTGCAAGGTTTTGAGAAGTTTATGTTCGTATAATTAGCACAATTCCATGTTTAATAAAAAATGCTGTCTGCTATCCATGTTGGGAGTGAGTGCATGCTGTCCTCGCAAACAGATACACGTTCAGGAAATATTTAAGAGTCAAAGGAAAAAAAGATTTTAAATGAGGAAAAACATACAGCTTAACATATTTAACTGCTATTACACATCCCTTAATGCGCAAGTTGCCCCGTGGCAAGCAAGGCAATAAAATATTTACGAGACGTTTTGCAATTTTATGTTCATCATCAAGAAAGCCCCACCTGTGTTGCTAATAAGTTCGGCTTGAGAATATTTCTGAGAACGTGGGCGATTGAGTCATCATTTTTTGCTTTACTTCCTACTCCTACTACTTTGGTATGCCCGAATGCCGGGTACAGAAATATACCAGTGCACATAAACTACTCCCCCCCCCCCCCGTATGTGTGAGCTGTTGTCACAAAGCACCAAGAGTATTATGTGCGAGCACGCTTGTATTGAGGGGGAGGCCTCATGCCACAGGGATGGGGTGAACACCAACGACATCGCTTCACGTTTGCAAATTGTTCCGATGCATTTTCTCCTTTTTGACAATTGTGTAAAACAATGTATTGATCTATATTCTTGGTTCTTTCGGTAAAGTCACGTAGAAGGGAAATAATAAAATATTTTTATCTACCTGCCCTTTACAGCTTTGGTTAGATTTACAGATGTCATGTAGAAGGGAAATAATAAAGTAATAAAAATATTGTATTTCCCTTCTACTGTGACTTTACCGAAAGGACCAAGAATATGAATCCCTGCAGTCACGAAAGCTTTAAATCAAAACGTAATGTGTTTATCTGTTAACCAAATACACGATGTCATTATAATGCTTCAGATATAAAAGGCATGTCCCGGTCCTGTTGGGATTTACACCAACCTCATATTTTAACATCGACAATGAAAATAGAGAAATATTCACCGACACAACACTAACACATTAATATAAGCAGGTATTAACATTCAGTATGTTTTTCAAAATGAAATTTGCAGATCATTTTTGTAATATATGTACAGGTTCTAAATGCTCAACATTTTTTCTGAATCTGTATACATTTATAAACAGTTGGTCACCTTTTATGTATTAGTGAAGTAGTCCACGTTCATCATGGACAGGCTAAAATTCGCTACGTCCCTGCCTCGATTAAACAAATGTGACCATTTATATTCTGCTTCAAATGATAGTGTGTTTAAATTCATAATTTGGATCATGACGCCATTTAAAATAACGCATGAGGTTATCCCCTTCATTAACAGAAGCATAACAAGCATGGCTTGTAAAAAAATGTTATGATGAACGTTGTACCAAATCATTCCAAAAGGGGTCCTCCCCCCCCCCCCTGCCACCCTGTTTGTATGGATTCATTGTATCACCACTGATCAGTGTCCGTCAAGGCTACGTAAGTCGAGACTGACACTCTACACACGGATTAGTGCTTCTAAAGATTAAGGAGTACTTCCATCCCTTCCAACTTCTTTTATTAAAAGTTCCCGAACTACTATTGACCTATCCATCAAATCATGCGTGTACAGTGAAGTGTTATCTGATGCTAAGTCAGGAGTCTAAGCATATTTGTCGCTTAAAATCAATGCTTGTAAATCACACTGCGGTACTGACCAACGTAGCCGCCATGACATCGGTGGCCGTGTTGTGGTTTCTCGATCCTTACACGTAGTCAGAATCTGTGAGTGACTACTTGCGTGTAATATTTGAGCACACTATGCATTTGAAAAAAAAAACTGTTTGAATAAAATGACTCAAAATTACAATAGTTCGCAAACTGTTCAGTATGTTGTTCAACTTCTTTGGCATCGCAGATAGCCAAGTGTGCTAATCAATTAATGGAATATTTCTACCTGGCCTTTACAGCTTTGGTTAGATTTACAGATGTCATAACATTTGGTCTTGTGGCTGTGGCTCATATACCATTTGACCAACATTACGAGTAATGTATTTGCGATAGAAAATAAACATTCTTTGCACTAATTATTTCAGCAATGGCCAAGGCCGCCATCAGTGGCGAGTGATGTATGCGCCGGCACTAAGCACGGTGAAGTACGGTTACACAATCCCCAACGACTTCACATGGGAAGCCTTCAGCATTCAGCTGTCATTTGACAATGGGTTTTAAATTAAAAAAAAGTATACATTAAATATTATCTCATTATGAAGTATATATTCCAAATAAATCGTACTTATATCTGCTCCTATACACTTTTGTCTTTGCTTGCAGGCTCTTGAATTCGAGCCAATCCAATTAATGCATCTTCTAAAGTAGTCAACACTGTAATTAAGTTTACTTGCTCATGTATCAAGTTGTCAAATTAAGAGTTTCATATTTAAAGATTTTTCAGTAGTTGCAGCCAAAGTTTTTTTTATCAACAGGTGGCCAAATTACAGCTCACACCATGACGCACCCGGCTTTTGCAAGAGACAAGATAGTAGCGAACGTGACATACGTTACAGCATTAGCATTATGTAAATTCAATTTCAATCTAGTGACACCGAATGTGTTGAGTTTTTTTTACGACACTACTTTAATTTCAGTTTAAAGGAGCTGCATGACTACACATGCAAAAACATTTCCTATAAAACCTGCAGATGTTTGCAAAACGTAAAGATACGTCATCAAGCAAATGCACCTGAAAAATTAAAATGAGTTGTTTAAAAAAACCTGGATTAGATTGTTCCGTCTCTGATTCAGACCTGCACACGCTGCATGTGCTCATAAACACATTTATATTATGTGCCGAAGAATATTTTTCATTTGTACACGTAATGCGTTCCCGTCACCACTGTAGCCGCAAAAGGTCAATCCATCCACTGCTACATTTTGTTCCTCCACGAAAATAATATTCGTTTTATTTGGTCATTTGTAACCTTCTGCATGAATCTTCACCTCGAAAGGATCCGCAAGAATGTTCTTGTAACCAAATATTGGTGCTTTTTTCCACGGACCGACCGAGGATTCCTTACTTTTTATACTTGCGCAGTTTACGTGAAAAAAAAACGCCCGTAATATTAAGGTCTATTCATCTTACTTGACGTCCTCAAGGAGCAGCAGTCGGGGGTGTGTATAAATAATAAATACGTTCCATGTAGTCGTTGAGCATGCACTGGCATCGATTTTGTATCATAAAGAAGCAGGCCCGAGGAGGGCAGGGGGTGAGCGCACGTGCCGGTTAAAACAGTTGGACTCTACCCGCAAGCTCTTTTGTTCCAAAGTTGTGGGGCCATGGGACGTCACGATGTCGGACAGCGATCAGTAACATCATGCACACGACAGATAATAGCCCCTTATGCGAATTAACATTCCTCATTTACACTACAACCTGACGCCATAAATATTAGTCTTGTCATAGGCAGTAGGAGAAGCCCATCCGATGCTGGCCTGACAAGGTGCCTTGGTTTGTGCCCTCCATTAGTTTTACAAACAAGCCACCACAAGCATAAGAAGATACAGTTATAAGTCTGTGCAATGGCGAGGACGTGTGATTGTGAATAGCAATGTGACCCCAAACTCTCCAAGGATTGGAGCCCATTCTCAAGTGAGATAGTGAACATGTTTGTAGCTTCATCACGTCATTGCGTTATTAGCTCCCAATGCGACATTTCTCGGAGCTGTATCACTTAAAACCGCCGTTTGTCGCCGATGATTTAAGCTTAGTCTCCTATAAACCATGGACAGCGAAACAAAATACTATTTTAATTGGCTCATCTCGACTCCCCTGAACCCAATAAAAACCTTTATTAAATTCCGATACCTCCTTACAAAATAAGCGCAACTTAATACTCTTCATGCTTTCTGGCTAAGGGCTGTTTAGAGACACTTTGTTGCTATGATATTACCTGCGATTGTGATGCTACAAAATGTCATGCCGTGCAGACTGCGACAAACCAGCACAGCTAACCAACAATGTAGGTCATGAAGGGGAAACCCAGGGTAAATAATTACAATTTTAAATACCAATGTTTGCAGTGAAGCTCAACTCTCATAAGACTAACATCTAAAGTGAAGGTATTAAAGCATCACTTAAACACTGTGCAGGCAAGTAAATACTCATAAAATAATGTATCCACATGATACATTGTTTTCTTTAGATGTATTGGGTCCAAGCTTACAAATCTTTAAAACATTATCTGTCACGAAACAAAACTCGGCTGAATGACACAAATACCCAACATTATTTTTAAATAACTAAAGATAGCTACAATATCTTCTTGGTTCTTTCGGTAAAGTCACGTAGAAGGGAAGTAATAAAATAATAAAAATAAAACATAATAAAACAATTCTCACGACGTTTCGGCCACAACGCAAGCAGCCGTCCTCAGGTGAAAACCAGGTCCGTCGAGGCGCCTCGCCGAAACGTCGTGAGAATTGTTTTATTATGTTTTATTTTTATTATTTTATTACTTCCCTTCTACGTGACTTTACCGAAAGAACCAAGAAGATGAATCCCTGCAGTCACGAAAGCTTTAAATCGAAAAATAGCTACAATAGTTGTAGCCCCCTTGTCAACCCACTACCTCATGAAGGTCTCGCCACATCCTGCAACGGGCCTTGTTTGACCACAGTTCAACATGGCAGGGAGCAGGCCACCCATCCCCTCGTGTACCGTGCTTGCCTTTAAAGGCACTTGCTAACAGCACTTGCCCCAACACTCTGTTCGGGCTATTCGGGGGACCTCTGTCTTTTGCGGGGACAGGACCAAATCAGGACTGGTTCAGATACCGCTCGCTACCAACGTTACATTTCATTTTTTTAAATATTTATAGAACACCTTAGCTCAACGCACTTTAGATCGTTTAAAAAGCGGTTACAAAAATAGAGTGGATTCACATGGCAGAGGAGTGCAAGGGAAGGGACAGGACGGAGGGAATGGGCCGAGGAGAAGAGGCATTCAACTCAGGTTGCCAGGCATCAGGGCGCACGTGCTCCGTCACCGGGCAAATGTCGTTGGTGGACGATGCGTTTTAGCGGACAAAGTCACACCGGTAGTCGCTGAAAATTCGAATAAAACAGTGCAATTCCATTCGATTGTACACATTCAACACACAATTAAGAATATCTTTTTTTTTGTTACTCAGAAGGAACTTACTACCCCCACAGAGAGCCAAATTATACATACCCACTGCTCACATGTGTCCCAATGGAGTGTCGCCCATGCCTGGGTGTCCCGAGCCTGGTTCCGAGGGGAGCCCCGACACCTTCTCCTCCTCTCTGCGCTTAAGGCAGGCAGCTTTCGGATTCAAGTTCCTCTCTGCCAGAGACATCGCAGCGCAATGAGCAAGCAGTGTGTTTCGTTGTTGTTTGGGAAAACGCGATTTGAAATTATTTAACGTCCTTGGGCGTTGAACAAAAAATATTTCCACAATCATCGGGCGAAACAAAATCGAAAAATAATAACGAGCACTCCCATTACTGTAAACGCGATGTGATTTTAGTAACAAATATAATTGTAAAAACTTCCAATGGAGTCGTAATTTCTTCTTCATCCCACCTTTCCATATGCACACAACTGTCGCCCCCAGACAATACTTACCTTCCAAAGCAAACAAGATCACCTCCCGGCCCCCGTTAGAGCTCGCACCGCTTCGTAAAAATTCCCTTACGCACTTAAAAAGGACACGGTTCAAACACAGAGGGCTCTATGAGCACAGCAGGCTGCTAGGCAGCAGCGGTCGCTTTACAATTTTAAGCTTTCTTGCGCTCGGCTACACGTGCTTGGCAAGGGGCGGGTCAGTCGTTCATTCAACTTTCGTTATATACATTTTTTTTGCTTTTAGTTTTGTATTTTGTCCCCGCCTCAGTAGACGAGCGCAGGGCTACCTCGGACTTGCTGCTCGAGGCTGGTGATGACCTGCACGGCCTGGTGAAGGATTCCCAGCTTGGTGGGGGCCCTGTCCGTCCGGAGGTGCGTCTGGCACAGCCGGCCCAGCTCCTTGAAGGTCTCATTGATGTCACGCACGCGGATGCGCTCCCGCACGTTGTTCGCCTTCCGCCGCTCGCGTTCCTTGGCCTCGCGCTCCTCCGGCAGTAGATCCTCGTCGCCACTTCTTGATTTTGCAACAAATTTTTTTTTGGGGGGGAATAATTTTTTTGTTTTTTTGATTTTTTTTGTATGGAAAAGCACGGGAAGGATATATCGTCAGCCGATTGACAAAACAGGAGAAAACAAAAAGAAGACTTTTTTTTGTCGAATAACCGGAACGAGACGGACGGCGACCTGACCCAAGAGCAGTTGCGCGACAGCGTGGCGATGAACGAGGCCTCCAAGGATTCCGTTTGGCTTCTTTTTTTTTCCCCGCCGGTTTGTTGAGATTTCTTCATATCCGCAGGAGGGGGGGGGGGGAATAATTTGGAATTTGCTCTCTGAAATGAGGAAAAGACTCAATTGGAGATAATTTAAGCCAAATTTAGGTCATCAGCAACGGAGAAACAAGTCCGAGGCAGCATATGCTAATCCGAGATGGTGTGCCGTTTGGGCCCTGTCTCTTCATCGGAGTCACTTGCCATGCCGTTTTGCCAAGGGAAATAAGGGGAGTGGAGGGGGGGGGGCGGGCTAATCCTGATCATATTGTAGCCAATCTAAGCTGCTGGTGTTTATTTTTTGTTTCCCTTGAAAATTGGAATGAGGAAGCAAGATGAAAAAGATGACAGTTTCCCACTTGAATAAAAATCCGACAACCAGCCCCAATGTGCAGAAGGAAAAGGAGCAACCTGGCAGTTGCGAGGTAAGACACAATCCAAGGATGTTATTTTAGGAAATATTTTTCGGAGATGAGGAATTAAGAGTAACGTCCTCTAAAATGCTCAGTGCAAAAGACGCCATGCAATAGGTATTACTAAACCCACACCTCTACACTTTGCTCTGAAAGTGTATACGGTGAGATGGTTTGAAAAGCAGGACAGAAAACGTTCTAATTAAGAAATATTAGTCCGGAGTGTTTTCCTGTAATTGTACATTTAAGCATTTTTTTTAAAGTATGATTTTAAAGATTAGTATAATTTAGAAAGTTTGGGAAATTCAAAAATAGTTAAATGTCCAAGTTTCGACCAAATTTTTACAAATTGGATTACATTTACCAAAAACTGTGATTAAATGCAATACATTACTCAAAACAAAACTGGATAACACTCTGAATGTGGAGACATTCATAAAATTGAAATAGCAAGTTTTTCAAATGAGAAAAGTGCAAAAAGCAAACATAAAAGCAGCTGCAATTTTTTTTAAAGATTTCAATTTTTATTTGCCTTTTTCCCCCCCTTTTTCCGCAAATGAAAAAGAATAGGTGTGGAAGTCACTGGCATGCCTGGGCCAGCTAAGAGCGGACAGAGCTTCCCATGCTTTGGGTGTGACGCTGCTTTTCAGGGGAGGGTACGGGAGAGGCTAAAGCTGGCACCCTGCCCCCAGGGCAGTTGGCGCTGGCGATGGCGGCGGATGGCGGGCGGCAACAGTGGCCCAACGGGCGGACTGACCTCGGACTTGCTGCTCTAGGCTCAGGATGACGGCCACGGCCTGGTGCAGGATGAGCAGCTTGGTCTGCGGCTTGTCACTCTTGAGGTGCAGCTGCACCATGCGGCCCAGCTCCTTGAAGGCCTCGTTGATGTCGCGCACACGCAGACGCTCGCGGGCATTGTTTGCCATCCGCCGTTCGCGCTCCCGCTCGGCTTTCTGCTCAGGGGTCAGGTCCTCGTCCTCCGTGCTGCTCAGGGAAATGGCCATGCGGGGGGTTACCGCGCGTGGCTGCTATGGTCAGCTCGCACTCACGCATGCACGCATGCATATGAGCTGCTGCTATGGTCTTCCATCATTGACCGCCATGTGAGCGCAATCGTGACTTGAAGCAGTTTACAGCAATGGTTGCATACCATTTACCTGAGCAGCACGGGATGGTAAGTAATACGCGCGCGCAATATTCTATTCAAACGCACAAAGAAGAAACACGGTTGACACAGTGCTTGAAACACTAAAACGTACAACACGTAGATCCTGCACGACCACAAGTGACACACAAGCCGACTCGCACACACGTGGGGACACCAGAAGCTCAGACGTCTGCGGGGAGACAAATGTCACATGCATGCTCTCATGGAAGTTGCCTTCCATTAACATAAAACCTGCAACAAGACGAATGGTTTCAATCCCACGTGCATACTTCACGCGCACGCACGCACTCGTTCATCGGCATTTGAATGCAAACAAAACATTGACACTGGAAATACTGTAAAGGTATTAAAAACAAAGTCGAAGCATACCGCTATCGATATCGCTCGATGTTGCATTTCAACACAATGGACTGTGTTTAAAAGGACAACATTCACGTGTCAACATGAGGGTTGCCATGATATGGCGATACTACGACATATGATCACACGATGTAGCATGTACGAGTCGGACTGTGCATTTCTAAAAAAATATTACAAGATTATAAATGCCTTTTTATAATTTTCCCAAAGAATAATAAACTCATTATTAAAGTTGAAAATAACTTGCTGTTATCCATAAATTAGTGCTTTTCAGAGTAATTGGCGGCAGGGCAATTATGTGATGCCACCATTATTATTACATTATTTATGCGGCTGACAGTATATGCATTAAGTCTTATATATTTTAAGTTGTCATTGATTACAATACAGTATATATGGCCAACTTAAGTTTACTGAACTGCAGTTTAAGAACTTTTAATTCATCCACATTCAAACTGGAAGAACAGGCATCACAAAACAAACCTATACAATAATAAATGTGAGATAAATTTACAAAGTAAATGGAAACTGATATCGCGATAATCATCACATTGTTATATTGTATATCTTACCATATCGGCAAACCTTAGTCAACTTATGCAAAGGCAATCATGCAACCATAACATATGCACCCATCACTGCCCCCTGTACTAAAGACATTTGTGGTAAACTTCAAGTTTGACTTAGCTGTGTTAAGATGTGTACAGTGATATAATTTAGCCGTATTTAAACATGGCCAAGCACGCATGCATTGGTATTAAACATTCAATTAGGTTCCAATGTGGAATTTTGACTGTCTTAGAAGATGCAGACTATCATCAAAATAATTAGATAGTACTGCTCATAATTCATAAATACTATCCAACAGCAAATTGCCACAGAGGTTTACGTTTTCATAAATATTTCACAATCAGAAATGTGTAAGTTTGACTCATGTAAGTAATGTCACGATCTAAAGCAAAAACTGGCGCACACATTCAAACTGGGCATGAACATTTGTTTAATTTGGCGAATTTTTTTTTCATTTAGAATTTAGCAGAAAAAGATCCAACTTACTAAAAAAAAAAAGTGTCATTCAGCCAATTTGTTTAAAAGTGTGGAAACGGCCAAGTCCTTGCTGTGTCAATGTACAAAATAAAGTGTCGGCAGTTCCCAGTCAGGTAATCAGGTTAATACCTTGACCTGCCCCGTGTCACTGACTTAATGTCTTCTTTGTCGTCATCGTTCTTGTCGCGGTCGTTGCGGCTCGACTTCCCGTCCTCGTTCTCGTCCTTTCTCCTTGTCCTCCGACTTGACCTCAATGCCACTGCTCTGCGAACCGCCACTCACGCTGCTGCCCGCCTGGCCCCCCCCACCAGAGGTGGTCAGGCTACCGCCCAGGCCTTAAAACGGGGAGGAACGGTTAGAGCCATGAGAATATGAAGACAAGCGGGCGCGCGCGCGCGCACACAGACGTGGCTTAGCATATATTCAATGTCTGGCCAGTAAAGCTCCGAAGATTATGCCCAGCGGTCTTTTAAAATTAGCACAAAGTAAACAGGCTGGTGTTGTCCCAAAACACTTTCACAAGTGTATAAGCAAACAGATTTACATGGACCAAGGACCTGAAGCCCATTGGTTGCAGGATGGCGGTTTTCACCGATTTTCCTCACAATATTTCCTTTACATCAACTCAAAGAGATTTACAGGCTATAGGACAAGCCGCGTTTATAGAACACCTCTTAATGTCGGTGCAGCTTGCAAGAGGAATTATACAGTCAGCACCACATTTATTTGTGTTAGCCCAAAGGAAACTCATGTGAGGATAAAATTACAACTGCCACCAGTGTTGAACAACAAACAATTAAACAGCCGATTTTAATCCATTAACTTCAGAAAGTATCTATTTAGGAATGTGGTACTGTGCTTACTGCTAGGACTACTTTATGTAGACATGTACACTGTCCGAATTTTTAAAATAAAAAATAGTTGAGTACATGTTAAGAATGGACATTTAAATAACTTACGTCGAATTTTAAATAATGAAGGTGAAAAAAATACGGTACAATATTATTCGAAAACCGTGGACCTAATTAATGTATTGAGTGAAAAACTTCGCACGATAGGAAAGGAGCACAGAGAATCTACTGATGTGGGATGATAAACCCCACCTATGGATGGGGCCATAACACTTGCTCTGCGAGCCATTCTGCAAAGTGCGGTGCTCTGTTGTCGCATCATCCCTATTTTGTGGTAGTGGTTTGGAATTCCACAGCAGCGGAGTACAGCTGCATACTATCATATACACACAGACACACGTGTGTAGCTATCAAGGTCAATAAGCTATTGCTAACTTACAACTTTCCAGCCAGGAGCTGAGGGCACACGAACCACAGCGTGTCCCCCCGATTGGAACGGTTCCAACAATGTGCTGCACCATTTAGACTATTTTGGAACGGGCGTGCATTTTTCCCCGCGGTGTACCCCCATTTCTAGAAGTCTAACCCATGCGTACGGAAGAGGACGATTGAAACTACCACAGTTGTGTGGCTCCAACCGAGCTGCTGTGCCCTTGCTACTCTAAACTTCGACCCATTCCTCTTTGTAGACTGAATACTGTCCAAAAAAGGGCCTCCAGTGAAATAAAGGACCCTCCTGTGTGGAATGGTGGCCAAAAATACTCTACAAATCGAGTCGCTGGAGGCAGCGACACATTTACACATCTTGCCAGCACAGCTTAGGGTCACATTTATTGCACAAGATCTGTAACATACAAAACTACCAATAATGAGTTTAGATTTCCAATTTATTGAGTGCCTCGAATCACAAATACGTGGATCAAAATGGCGACCTATGATTGAATCCTTGACATCTTCTCCTTGTGAGCCAGAAGTCATTCATACGATAATGGAAAAAACACTATTTAACCTACGTTAACTGTTAGGCAAATTAAGTCATCAGCGAGCACGTGCTCATGAGGGCATTATGGGAAACAAAGAGGTGGCATGGCTGTGCACGCTGTGCACCAGAAATGTAACCCTCGTTGCTAGGACTGGCACACCATGTAATTACTTTGGCATTGTGCCACGGAGATGCTGAGACAAGATTCATTTAGTTTCATACACGCGTATGGAATTCTTTTTTTAAAGACTTCAACTCATAGCGTATGTTTTAATACGTATATGTGGTACGCATGGTTTACCTCACTCTGCAGCGATGGCCACATGGGCTGAAAGAAGTTGGACGGACTCGCGCTTGCACAATATCTCACCGAGTATAGACGCTGAACTTCTTTTGCACCGTACATAGCCAACCGCGCTCATCGGAGGTGTGGGGGAAAGCAATACCCCAATGGAGCCAGTTATCCTATTTTACTGACAAGTGGATGAAAGGCTGTAAATGAATGACATTTACTCACGATTATCGACGAGAGGCGGAGGGACATCACAACATTTAGTGTCCTCGCCTCTAAAGCCACAACAGATGGACATTTGTCGAGAGCATCCTCCTTGCTCATTGTGGAATTCACCTCGGAAGGAGTCTTGTGTGGAGGTAAGGTCGTTCCCAGGCTGGGCCGTCATGACGCTGGACAAGCTTGAGTGCAGCCCCACGGCATCGTCGCGGTGAGAGCTCACCTGCAGCACATCGCACGCCGGTGCATTAGGGGGGCACATCGGCGCACACCTGGACGGTAACTACAAGCCAACTCTTGTAAAGGCCTAGGCCAAAAGGACGTACGTTTTTTCATTAAAGATCTAAGGGGAAGTGATTCATATGAAAAAAAAACAGGTGCTCAAAGGACATTTTACAACTGTATCCAATGTAATAAAATGAGGGTTTGGAAAATATTTTAAATTTAAAAAAGTTTCATATATATAAAAATAGCATTTTTAGATCTCTGTCCAGCTTTCATCTTGCTCACAACATGGTTTTCCTGCACCTCACAGCTGTTAGTGCTGAGAAGCGCAGTTTCACAGTACAACATTTTCACGACTCAACATGGTATGAAACGGCCATAAAACTCATTCACCATGCTGTGCTTAGACCCAAGCACACAATAACGCAATACTTTTTTGCTCGTAAAAATGTGGCTCAACCATGAATGGACTCCATTTACACACGTACAGTACGCACCTTAAATCAATTTCTCCCTTCCACTTCTAAACTACAATACCTCCAAAGAAAACTCCAACAGCGGTAACCGCCACTGCCCGAGTACATTGGTTAATAAAAAAAAAAACACATTACCAAGTAATACGGCGCGGATGCAGAGGAGCATGGGTAGCCGTAGTGCTCGGGCATCGTCCACGACCGGCTGCCGTCAAGCGAGAAGCCCCACAGAGGCCGGGCCATAATTGCGAGCAGGGCTCGCACATTTGCGCCTTCTGTGAATTTAGCGGCACTGCCGTCCCCAGCCCGTCCGCAAAAAAAAACCCTTCGAGCTCTTGCAAAACAGACGGGTCGCCATGGTATTTGAAAGTCCCAAGATCGCTCTGGAGAAATGTTTGTGCACGCCCGCAAAGGTGCGCAAAGAACATGACTGAGAGTTCCCCTAAATGGCACGATGAAACCAAGGCTCGCTCTCAGAGCCACACAATAAGTTCTTGACAACCTCTAGCAGTTGGCTAACAAAACAGCAGGTTGCTTCGGAGGAGAAAAAAAAAATTGCACATGGCGGCTGCTTTTAATTTATTTACTTCGTCTAATACATTTCAGAATTATGCATAATTTATGCCACAGAACACTGTGCACTTTCAAAGCTCATTTATAAATTACAAGAGCTATTAATATGAAGTTCTACGTGTGCGGCAAACTACATTATAGAATATATATTCTTCCTCATTTATTGTACCTCTTTTTCAAACAATAAAATATTGAATGCTGTAAACTGTGCTTTCACATTACAAAACTATACTGTACAAGTGATAAAAGAATGTAATTCTGTACAAGGCTCGCTAGATTTCAGCTGTGTATGGTTGAAAGATTGAAAAATAGTTGAGGCTACACCAGGAAAAAAGACGCTGTGCATTTGTAGTTTACACATCATTAGTGTTTGGAGGACTGCGGGGAGAGAGTGAGCAATTTAAACACTCGTGAGCCGGCTTCTCCTTGCGGGCTCAGCCGAGCGCTTTCTCCTACCAGCTCGATGATTCTGAAGTGGCCATGTGTGCCACCGGTGCCTGACAGCGGCCGACAATCGGCCCTTTTCAAGCGACGGATCCGCAAGTGACACTTCACGCAGCCACGACCCCTGCGCCAACACCAGGCCAGACGCTCGCCACTCTTGGCGGCGTGCATGACCCCCTCACCCCCCCTCTCGGTGAAAACTACGGCCACTGGCGCAACAAAACAAAACATGGCAGGTGAACTGACGCGCCGAGTTCTTGAACGCGGGGGATTTCGGTTGCAGGGCACGCTGCACACATGCAGCCCTAACACAGTGGGGGACAGCCCCCCGCCCCCCCCCCCCCACACTTTTTGGGCTTCAAAGAATGGGAGTTTCAACTTCAAAAATTTTCAGCGGCTGCAGAGCCAGCACAACGCAAACCGCCGTCGTACCTTTGTCGGGATTCACAGGAAAGATCCAGAAGAACAGGGATATAAATTGAGCAAGTATAATAACATTTCCACACACAGCATAATACGACCTGCTGAGATGTATACATGTTTTTACTTGCATCTTGAAGACTCTATATTCTAACAATATAGTTCTCCGCAAACCTCTTTAATGGCACTTTCACAAAAGGTAATCCACTAAACGATCACCTCTGCACTTCAACTCGCATGGCAATGGCAAAAAAAAATTGCACGCTGTCAATCAAATATATTTACGTAAAAAAACAATAAGATTCCACAAATCTACTGATGAAAAACACGTGAATTAAAAAAAACGTGGCAGCAACACGTACAACATTAAAACAATGACATTTCCACAAGGGGGAGCTGTCAAACAGCAGTTTTTGTGAATTTCCTTAAACTGCCGCAGAGGCACACGACAAACTATTTTAGGCCTTGGCTTGCGCCCCCCCTTTTTCTGGCTGACAGAGCACAGAATAAGAAGTGAATATGGTAAGTATGTTTTGTCACCCTCCCGTCCCCTGACCTGCCTTCCCTGTCTTATTCTGCTCTCCACAGAGATCTGCAAATCCGAGGCCTGTCCCAACTCCATCTGTCTCCTGTCATTTTTCCCGGATCGCTGCGACAGTTAATTTTAATACCCATCTGTTAATTGCAATCAACGCCGTGATGCAAAATTCCCTGGGCGCTCACAAAGCCCCCGCAGCCGTGACGATTTTCGGCAAGTCACCATGGCGACCAGGCATTAGTGAGATAATGTCCAATCTCTTTTTAATGTGCGGTGGCACTCTGCCACGAGCTCGCATACGCGCGGCCCAAAATCCTCCTCCTCACTCGTCCTTGCACACGCAATACATGGCATCTTAAAATCAAGACGTACACCGGCCAAAGTCACCCGCTGCACAACCTTAAGAGGTAAGGGACAGCCCAGGACAGATCAACATGCTGGTGTTGTAGCCACATTGGCTCTTCTGACTTCAAAATTCAGGCATTCCACTTCACTGAAGTCCACCATATTGCAAATTCCAAAGCGAAAATAATGTGTTTGCAGACGGTGGTAAATTTTTTTCTCAGTTATAGCTCTCATGGAAACATATTTGTGCATCTGGATATTAAAGTGCGTTGCGTGCAAAGATTCGAAGATTGTAATCTGCCAAAAAAACAAGCGCATTATTGTTTTTATGCTGACCTTTAGAAGGCGACTTAGGATGACCTTTGCATGCATAACATTGGCATTACTTGTTAAATGTGTGCCAGCATGAAAGCAAGGCTTGGCAAATTTTATCACAACTTTTGGTCTTTGCAGAAACGTCTAATCTTGGAGAAGAGCTAATTAACAGCAATTAATATTCAAGTCTAACATGATTTGGCATTCATCTTTTTTAACATTTATAGCCACTACTGCAGAGCTTTGCGCATCCACCCCCAATTTCCTGAAACTGGCACAACACAGGACATGCGCCGTGCATACCAATTCCCAGCTCCAACCGTTAATTAAACATGCAAATGAGGGCGTTAATTAAGTCCCCCTGAAGCAAGCATTTGCTGCATCAATAATTTATGCAAATAAGAAAGGAAAAAAATAAGCTGTTCCAGAAATTTCCAGGGTGAAAAAAAAGGACGAGAAAAAATCAACGCAAATAGCTTTGAAATGACACCGAATTGAATGTTTTTTATCTTCACCCATTGCACTCCGTTCACTTCAAAATGTTCTGGGATTGTCCCCCCGTTCTAGCTCGAGTGATGGGGGTCGGAACACAACAGGTGTGCGCGTTCTTGCGAGCGAATCCTAGTAAGGGGTCGGATAAGCGCCGGGTGTTTTCGTGCAGGGCCTCGTAGATTTGCATTTGAACCGATACTCTGCCTCGCCCTCCCCACCCCCCTCTGGGGTTACACGGACCGAGTGTAAGGGACAGGCATGCCGAGCGGCCATCGTGCTGGTTTGACCAAATTCCGCTTGCATTTTTCCCCATCTCGGATCACCAACTTGTGTTCTCGCTGATGCCGATAACGAAGCCTCGGACTCGCACGGGGGGGGGGGGGGGGGGCGTTTTATCAGCAATGCACAAACATGCACTCGTGTGAAAATGCACGTCCCTTTTATTAGCAATGCCGATAAGCAAGGACATTTAAAAAAATACTAAATACAGAAGTGGGCAAAAAGGCACTAAAATATTTAATTCCTCTATTGCATGAAAATTATTTTTTCTCTCAAATGGCAGTGAAAAGCTTATGTTCCCGTTGTCGCTATACATTTCTGCTGTTTTTACGTACAATGTATATATACATAACACACGCCATTAGTTTACTTTTTAAAAATGCTGCTGAAGGAAAAGACAAAGGGCAAAACTGAGCAGCATAATGATCCTCTGTGCAGAGTATTTTGGCGCAAAGCGACGGAGGGGGCAGCAATTATACGCTTGATGGTCTGTGAAGAAGACTCAAGTCAAAGCGGCTGCACTCCGGCCACGAGAGCCTATTTTAGTAGATTAAAGTGCAATTTTCTGGGTATTTGAGAACAGGCCGTTAAACATTGCTCAGAGTATCAGGGGACAAGGGCAGGGCCTTTGATTTTGTGTCGCCGCGTGTAATAGTGGGAAAATTACAATGTGGGCATTTATTTAATGGAAGCCCGGTGCAAGTGTGCTAAACGCTATGCTAATTTTAAGCACGCGCACAATCAGCTGTTTGTTGCAAGACTTTCTTGAAAACACTGAACGTGTAAAATCGTTGTCTGCGTGGAGGGCGTTGCATTATTTTGTCACTTTTTTCCGGTACAATGTGTCGGCCGCAAAACAAATGGAATCACACTGCGGTCATACAAACAAGGATCTACCACACCAGGGCATGGCATTGTACATTTTAGCAGGAATTAAAATCCAGTTCATTAACATGTAATACAACATAAAACCACTGCCTGTATTGTAAACACAGAAAGATAAAGCATTGCATTGCTTTGGTCCAGTGAACAACCCCGGTTATCCTTCATAGGAATGTGGGACTTTTAAAGATGGCTCCAGAGTGGACAGGAGACAGGGGACTATCTCAGGATGAGTCGACTCGGATTCTTTGTGTCCAAAGTGCAGCTACAAAAACCTCTACGATGACTTTCTTGATTGTATAAAAGCTAAAAGCAAAAAATTAGAATTCATATCTTGTTTTGTACATTTAAAATAAAAAATAAAATACACAAAAAATGGGAAAAATAATGTATTTTGATGTTTAACAAATCCACAGTAAATCCGGCTATTATAAACAATGAATAAGTAGACATATTTATTTAACACTTTACATTTATTATTACATTATTCCCTATTATTTTACGTCTTATCCCGTTAAATTTAACACAGGCATGCACATTGACATAGAGTACCATTTGCCCAAGATCCAAAACACGGGAAAAAAGTTATCAAAGAAAAAGGTGCGGCACAACTAAAGTTCTAACACAAGCCCGTTGGCAACATTCGCAGAATTTTATACGTATTCTTCAGAATTTGTTTTTCCACTAAATAAATGCTATGTGCAGGTGATGCAGTTGAGCACTCTGTTTATCGTGTGCGGTAAACAAGTATTAACACAAAAAAGAAAGACAAAAAATCTCAATGTTGGGTGTCAAATACTTATAAACTTGGCCATCTACCAAACGTTGTAGCTATTTATTCATCTCACTGGTTTCTAAAAACTCACTGAATATTCTCCACTCCCCACCAGAAGGCATTCCTTTTCTACAATGTTTATTTGTTTCCGGCATTATTATTATTCCTACAAAAAGGTGTCAAAATGCAAATGCAGCAATATCATTTTGTTCCTGATATTATGCTTTATTAACTTTTCAATATTAGCTGTGCATTTATTTGCCTTTCTGTGTTCTGTGTGCAGTTTTTTAAGGCAATAATGGAGAGAAAGGTTTTCTAAAAATAATGACTCGGACTGAACTGAATGCAAAATAATGCATTTGGGAAGTAATTTTAAATCAAGACATATAGAAGCCTTTTATTAATGCTCACTCTATCATGAATTTTGAGTAATACTTTTGGCATTGCCCTTTTGAATATATATAGTTTTTTTTGTTTCTCCTGCTTTAAAAATCATTTTAGACAATTGCTGAATTGGGATTAAAAATTTAAGCTGCACTATGTGCACACACAAAAAAAATCTCACGGCAACTTGTGTCCATTAACTTGGAACGTTGATTTGATTGCAAATAAAGTGCAGTTGCGTTTTTGCAAACATTAGCACATCTCGTCGTCTTGCGATCGGCAATAAATGCAATACGGCTAAGCATACACGACTGCATACATTATATAGTAAGCATATATTTATATATATATACACACACACGTTTATACAAAGGGAAGTCTAATACTTTTAAATGTGAATTATAAAAGTACATAGAGAGCAAAATATGTCATGCCATTATTGAGCGTACTCCTCTACATCATTAGAACATGGTGCGGTTTCAATACGACTACTGCAAGTGGAACTAATAAAAATGACTAAGCTCTCACCATATCATCACCCACCAATTCTGGCCGTACTCGAGCCTGCGTTCCCCTTTTCCCACTTTTATTCACCGCGGGGCTCGGTATAGCTGTAAACTCACTAACTGCCCTGCCACAGACGATAAAACATTACAGGCACAACCAGCGTGCACGCAAAAAAAATCAACAAGATAGCGTGAGGGAGGTATCGAATGCTCATGGTTACTGCAAAACAACGATAAGTACACAGTCAAAAAAGCATAAACATTTTGAAGGAGTACACACAGATAAAAACTCTTCAGAAAGGTATTGAAAAAACAAACTCAGACTCGGGATTCACAGTGGAACAGGCCGATAAACAACACGTGTAAACAAAAGCGAAAACAATGATCTACGCAGCAGAAAAGTGTGCTCAAGAGAGATGAAGGTTAACGGTATTGTGTCGCCGAGTGCCGGCCGTTGTGCTCTGCCATCGTGAACGACGGGTTATGGGCAACAACTGAGACCACAGCCAGCGAGGGGATTCGAGGGCAGCCGAGTGACGCCGGCATCGATGCCCCCCAGTAGATACATCGAGTATATTTATAGAATATGGAGGCAGCTAACAATTCTTTGAAGAGCGATTGCTTCCCACACGCGGGACATTCTATCTAATGTGGCGTCGAAAAATTAGGACAAGACCAATGTTTCGCTGCTCTAATGAATGTCATGTGATACGGATCTCCGTAGGCAGCGCTGACTGGTGGAAATTACCTACACCTATGACGGGGACCAATTTCTCCCAATGGAAATCACCGTTTACTTATCATTATTCTCCCAAATAATACTTGCTACAGAGATGCACATGTCTCAGCAATAACAACTGTGAGCAGTCGGTGAGAATTAAAAGTGGAATATTCAAAAAGAAAAGTACCAATTTTCTTTAAAGTGTGACATTTACTGATACTAAACATATTTAAATAACTCGCATTTGCCTGTAACACTGCTTCAAAAAGTATATAATAGCCAACGTTTCGGAAAATAGCCCTTATTCATAGGCACTGAAGCCAGAAACGTAGAGTCAATAACAGATATTAAGCAAGCAAAACTTCAGTGATGATATCTATTCTTGTTCAGAACTAGAATTATGCGTGGGGTTTGTATTGTTTATTTTTTTTACGACGTACAGTATTTCGTTTATAACTGTTTAATAGAAATGTACGTTATTACATTTACCATTAGGTTTTTTTTTCCCACACTCAATTGCATATTTTTCAATGAGGCTACTATGCGTCCTGTACAATCGTACAGGGACAAGCCAAGTGGTGGTGGGGGGTCAGGCAGTGTGGGAGGCACACTGGTCCAACCTCAACAGCTGGAACGGCCATCATTAAGAAATCTGACAAACAGCTACACTGGGTCATGTTTCAGCCTTGCCAGGAATTTGGTGGCAGGTGCAGAGGCTGCTGCGGTGGCTCCACCCCTCCCCACCACCTCTTCACCTTCGAGTCCTGTTTGGGGACTAAGTTACAATGCAGAAACGAGGGGGGGGTTGTGGGGGGGGGATTAAAATAAAAAACCCAGAAAATAACGCGATCTAACCCAAAAATCTTTATTTTGACCAATACAACTCTGCTGCCGAATCAAACAGTGGCACTGATGGGAAAATAAAGCTGCCTTGCAATCGCATTTTGTTGCCGTGCTGGTTATCTCTGTCTGAACCCAGTGCCAAATTAACAGGTTTTTTTTATTCTGAACTCCAAAAAGGCCTTGGGAATATGATCTTGGAGGGGTCTGAAAGGGACCGTTGTTATATAGCCTTGGCCAATAGCATACCCTGGCGATCAAGTTTCCACAACTCTTTGCCAAGCGACATTAGCCTGATTCAACCCAGCTGTGCTCCAGTGGCGACCAGGCCAAAACCATGGGAAGGCAGAGGAATGCACGCTGCCTTTCCTTTCTTTCCTCCCATTCCATGAAGGCGCACGCACGCACACACACACACAGACATCTGGCACTCACTCTGGGGCCTAACGCAGCCGCGGCTCTCCTTTACGGCTGAGCCTCTCACTCCCCACCGCCGCCCGCCCCCCCCCCCGCGGTGGCATTTTCTCCAGAAGGTGAGGGAAAGCAAAGTGTAGCGAAGCAAACAGGAGGGCAAAGACTGCAAACGGTTGGACGGACGGAGAGCGTGTGCGAGCGCATGCGAGAGCTCGCTTGCCGTAACCGCTGCTGCCAGATACCAGGCTGCTGCTGCCACTCGGGGCCCCCCGAATGCGTGAGTTAAAAAGCACAGCGCCGGTTTTCCCTGCAAGTCCGCAGGCTTCAGGGGCACTCACACAATTAGCATCTAATGTGAATGCTGGCATTTCAACAGAAACGGCGCCAATCACTTACACGAGTCAATGCTCACTTATCAAGTAAATTGAATAGACCTCCCGAGGTATATTTCTTAACGGAAAAACCCAACTGGCAACTCCTGCTACGTGTTGCCGATGAATGCACAATGAATGGTCACAAAGGTAAAATATAACGACTGGGGAAATACTCGTGTTCAGAGGTTATTAACTAACAGGGTAAACAAAGATGTTTGTATAATTGAACAATTGCGCATGTGAACAAAAAAGCGCATACACACCCACATATATCGGAAATGGCTGATGGTCTAAAAATTTACACATTTGGGGTCTCTGTCAACAGATATACTGTAATTGTTAAACAGACAAATAAACACACACATCCTTGTTAAAAAAATAAAGATGTTCCCTTCCAAAGTCTTTGTGAACACAATTTTGGAATTCACTTGGATATGAAGTGCCCCCAGGTGTCAGAAACTATGGCATGAATCTTAGTGGAAACCACACTTCCCAAAGGCAGATGTGTCTGCAGCAGCGCACACTCTTCTTCAAAGCTGGATGCAAAATCAATTCCGTTATATAATGAAAACATACATGTCCTATGCGGATTCCCGAGGAGCTTTAATCCTGCTGTGTAATTGCGGAACAGCTTAACTTCCTGGACCTTATTTGCAAGCAAATGCCACGACAAAAAATCCTTTTCTCACAGTCGTCGTCGTCGTCGAAGCCACGCGAACGCCCGGAGCTCTCACCATGGCGGAGTGCCGACTTGCGGACAGGCCACCCGTGCCGTAGTTGGCAGCGAGGCCCCCGATGGCGCCGTTGTGCGAGGGCCCCAGGAGGCTGTGCATGTCCCCGCCGTGGCCGCCGGGCATGCTTGTGGAGGGCCCGACGGCGTGGTTCCGCAGGATGTGGATGGCGTCGTCGAGTCGGTCGAGCCGGTCCTCCATCCGACTCTGCCGGTTGCAAGCAAACAAAAAACGACGGAAGACAGCCAAACGCCTCCGATTAGCGCGGCCTGGCTACGTACGCTTTGAACGAAGCTTGACGTGCCGTACATACAAACAGAAGACGCTGTTGGTCAGATGGCGCGACTGAGCTCAACGCAGTTGATGCCACAGTTGTTGTGAACCTGGCAACGCAGGACGTATCCTGGAAACCAGGTGCACAACTCCAGAGCGAGCGTTCGTGGCCATGTGGCTCAGTTAACCACAGGTACAAAAACATTTTTCCCAATGTTATATGGACATTAAAAAAATATCAGGATGTTATATCGAAAAAGATCCAAGATGTACGTGGAATTAGGTTCATGTCTTATCAGATTGTACAATTGACATATATGAAGCAATATTAAATTAAATATCGTACATTGGAAGTTTAAACAAAGTGTAAATAGCAAAAAAAAATACACATAAAAGTTAAACATTTATTTTATTCTCTGGAAAATTATGCTCTTCCATATGTTCAACCTTACTGATATTTTAAATGTTGGGGAAATGTTGCCATTATTTTAAGGATTAACAAATGAAAATAATTACATATATTTGCATCCAAGAATGTGGCACCATCCAACACACATTTAAAATTCAAATTTTATCCCAAATTTGTTGCAATATTCATACAATCTGCACATTTCGCAAGGAAAAGCAATAAAATGATATATTCTGCAGTGTGAAAGAACAAAAGTGATTATGCGAATTAAACAGACATATCAGTCCATTGATGGAATAGCGTAAAATCAGCACTATTATCTATGCCTCCAAAATGGCACAACCAGGAAATAATGAATTGCCGTCACGACAACGTTGGTTAGTTTTGCTAGCGTAAGCCTTCATGCTCAAAGCGGAATGATCTATTTTGCTGAAATGATAAGACGTCTCCACAAATGGATTTATTTACCAATGGGCAAAAAATGCAGCCATTCAAGGATTAGGAATTATATTAAACAAACAAAAATGCCACCTCCAGGACTCACGGGCATTTCCCCACAACAATCAACAAGTGCGAGTATGACACGCTGAGCAATTTATCCGGAAAAAGGGGAATGCACGTCGATGAAGTAGTTCATCTTTCAATGGGCCGTTTGTAACTCACAAAGGCTGGCACTGCCATTACCCCCCCTCCCCTATATACCACGCTGTATTAGGAGGGGGTGTTTTATTACAGGCCACCATGAGGTAGTTCAGAACATTTTTGCTGGGATGAAGCCAAATGTACATTGAGCCAAAATTTATTTTCAAGAGACTGCGTTTCAGGTCATGGTGCTTTTGCACATGATGGGGTAAACTTGTGGGTCTCCCCCGATGAGCAGAATAACGTGCCGCTTGATATGATATGCACACACCAACCAAAGCGAATGAAATAAAGTGATAGGTCTTACATTTGGCTATTTTTATAAAATATCTTTAAATGCTTATGCTTTGTTACAAAATGATGTATGGCATTTCTTCTGTCTGCCAAAGTGACGTATTACAATGTTTTCTGAAACCTGTTAATAGCTGCACTGGCAACATCGTGCTGCAGATGCCATATTTTTACATCAGTCCTTGGCTGGATAAACACAATTAAATCCTGAAATATTATCCACGGCATTACATAATGTTCCCAAAACGCATAAACAAAGCATAGAGAAAAGCCTGACGAATCACGTCTCTCGGTATATTGTTAATAAAGTTTCAAACAACCGATACCGGAAAAAAAAGTGTGAGCCCTCTCGTGCTCCCTGGGACTTTTTATAATTATTAAGTTGCAAAAGTCCTGTGCAGAGCAGAAGACAGGGTGAGTACCTCGCAGACATCCTTTAGGAAAGACATGGCATCCTGCAAGTGCTCATGAAGTTGCTGCTCCACGCGACTTTTCTGAAAGCCCAGAGAGGGATAAGAGGACGGCCGGGGTAGCAGGCATTAGTGGAAGCAAAAGCAAGCAAGCACGCGCGCACACACACTAAAAATGGGACAAAAGCGGCCAACGAGGAGATACTCTGTGAAGGGTTTCATCTCCAAGTCAGGTTTAGTGCCGTGCAAACAGTGATGGTGAAGCAGGCGGCAAAGCGGCGGCGGCGGCACCAGCAGCATTTGATGTAAGCCAGAAGGGCTGACGGGCAGCAAGAATGTCTGACTCGAGAGTTTCAGCAAGCAGAGAGAATTAAGATCATGCGGCCCCGCGAACGTGCTGTGAGAGTTACGCAAAAGGCTTGCACACACAATAACAACCCAATGGTCATATTTTGTGAAAAAGCAAAACGTGGACAGGCCAACTTTTTTTTTTTTACAAAACATGATTCATCTGACAACTTTTCCTCTGAGCGGCTAATAACCATGTATTAGAGAAGTAATGCAACACTAGTTACATATTCGCCTCTGGAGCATCCTCAAAGCAAAAACTGCATGCTTTGCAATCGGGCTCAAGTTTTCTTTCTCATCTTACGTCAATTGTCAAGGGCGTGTGTGTGTGTGGGCTGATCACAGTCCGTGGATGTGCGTAGTCAAACCAGTGCCCTGTGTGGCCTCACCAGCGAGTGCAAGGAGCTCTCGTAGTTGGGAGATGAAGGCGCCTGCGCCGCGGTCCGTGACCACTGTGCCGCACCTGCAAAGCCAAAGCAGCAATTAGAGAAAACTTCAAAGGGGGTATGCAGATAAACACACGCGCGCGCGTGTGCGTGCGGCATTCACTAAATTACAGCACTTGGAAGGAGAGGCAGCGGTAGAAATATTGCAGCGTGTGTGTACTTGGCATATGAACGGCTCTTGATAATAATAATATCTTCCCTTTCTCTTTGCCTCCCACCTGACTGGAGTCCAGAAGTCAGTAAGGGCACAGTAATGAGGCGGCTTCCTTACGAACGTGAAATGGAAAATACAAGGAGAATCTAAGAGGCTCAACATTTTCCACGTTTTATTATGTCCTGAGAAAATCTCATTGGCTTGAATGTTTTACCGAGTATATATTTGAAACCAAATGCCCTGAACTCTAATGAGAGCAACATTTTATAAATTGGTTTGTTGATTTAAAAATGTATATGTTAAAGTGCTTTCATGCTCAAACAAGTTTGAGGTACCAATCATCATCTATATATAGCCCTGGGACAATGGTGGAAACTTTACATTCCTTATTTTAATACTTTTGATCCCTATGTTTTTATGGTAACAGGTTCACAAGACCCCTCCCTGTACAATGTAAAAAAAAGTAAATTAATTCCTGAATCAAAATGTCATAAAAAATGCAACTATTCATTGAACTGCCATCGGGAGGGGGTGATGTTGAGCAGGTACACATTTATTATTCACTTATAATAAATATGGGCTTGCCCTTAAAGTAAAATGCAGACACCTAAAATTGCTCATGACACCAAATTCGTGGGAACACTCCGATATCACCACAATTTCCCCTGCGATTCGTACTAACTAGACAAAAAATGGCTTTATAATGCAAGTAATTCAATTACTGAAAATAAAGCACACCAGATTAGGAATTCACGCATACACCGCATTTTACTTTACACCGAAACAAATGATCACACACGCACAACGATGATACGTTTACTCATTCAGACGATCGCCAACATTAGCAAATTACGGAAAGTGTACGCTGCTTTCCGCGATTTAAACTTACATCTCCGCGAGAGCAACATCGCTCAAATGTGGTATTCCGTGAGCGGCTGCTCAGTGGGGGCCTAACAGAGGACCCACTGGGCCCTGCGAATGGTGCTTTGTCAGCATTTCAGAAGCCCAGGGGTTACTTCCCAGTGACACGTCTGGGTGACGCCCCGTCACTCGTCAAGGGCCACAAATGGAGGGCCCTCCTTCGTCCTTTTGTTGGGCCCGAACAGGAGACTCCATAAAACAAACGTCTGTACCCCCACACACACAAACCCTCCGTGCCCCCTGCCCTCATCCTTCTCTTCTATTCAGAAAACCGCCCCCCACCCTCCCCCCCAAAACATTAGCATCACAAAAAGGGAGACATGCCAAGCTGGATGATGGCAAAATTTTTCAACAATCCCTGGGGCGTAACCATTTTACTCTGCATAATGTCTGAGCTTTCAGCAAAAACAACTCTTTCTCTAACAGCTGACCGACAGAGTCAAAGGCCAGAGTAGATGTTACAAAAGTGCCTTATTGTCGTGTCTTTTACTGGTACCTAAAGTTGTTCCCGAAGAAAGCTTTAAAGCTAAAACATATATATACATACTTACACGACATATGCATAATGCATGTTTAAAAATAAATCTTGCTTTATTGCTAAATAACTGTCAAACTATGAAAATGTATTTCGTCGCTGATAAATTTACAATTAATGTGGTTCGGGAAAATTTCCAGCCAAAGATTTACGGCCATTGTAAATAAAATTAAAATGAAATCAGCAGATGATTTGCAGAAAAATTACTGAAAATAGCAAAGAGGCTGCCCATCACTTCTGCCTATTGCAACCGTTCCGAACTATGAGGGGGGGCTCAGTGCCCCGAAGCGATTGTATTCAAATTTTTTTTTCCTTGGGTGGACAAAATATTTATTATGAAGATAAAACTGTTGAAAGGGACAATGAACTAATCTTACACGAGGCATATTCTAAAGTTTCATATCAAAGCATATAATTTATTATAAGAAATGTTAGAAATACACTGACAAACAAATAAGCATGCACCTCGGGATTAGCACGGTTGGCTACGTACGGTGCGAAAGAAGTTCAACATACATACACATATCTGAGGTGACAACGCAGCATGCCGAAAACCTTTGCGAATGTTCATTGTGGTGGCAACACTGCTAGACTCTTGTGCTGAGGAGGGCGAGGGTTGTTGGATCCAGTACATGTGTAAACTCCCAAGCCTGCTGGACTACGAAGCGGCTATGAAAAAGCGGTAGAGCAAGTGGGATCAAGACCCCACCTGTGTGGCCCTTTGAGTGTTTTTCCACATTAAAAACATTCCATTCCCAAAACATGGCCATTCAGGAAGAGTTGAACACTCAAGCGAGGCTTTTCCAGACAATAAAAGAAGCCTCCATTACAGTAAATCATCATTGCTTCAATAATACCCTAATTTATTGGAAAGCTATTAATTGTAAATTAGTTTTTGTTATTGTTAAGAAATAAAAACATTTACAAAATGTCAGAAAGAATCCTATATACAAAAGCTATACACACAACTGCAAATTTGTCAACGTGCACCTTGATTTTTCCACTTTGAGCAGGCGTAACAGAAAGAGGTAAAAGATGTTTGTTTGTATTAATGTTTGTTAAGATTTGCATGACCGGCATTGTGAAGGATTGACAGGAAAATCGGTGTGTTTTCACACGCACACCATTCTCTTTCAGATGTGTCAAGCAAATGTTTATTTACCTCTTGTTTATATATGCCAATTAGATTTCCATCCATCACTTATCATTTAGATCTGTCCCTTTATCATTCATTAGTCTGTGAAACCATAAAAATCTCCCCATTCAATGTTTAACCCATCAGTGAAGGAATTTGTTCATCTCCAAACAATGTAATTACCAAATGGGTACAACACTTTATGAAAAGCATTGGATGGGGGTAATCACATCCATATCTTACCTGTGAGTGGTGGGGGAGAGCCGACTGGTGTGGAGGGGTTGGATGGAAAGCTGTTGCTGGTGTGATCTGGCGAATAAATCTGCAAATGAAAATGCACATGCTTTATTAAAATAAATCAACCAGGCAGAGAGAAATGACCTTGTCCTGCCCTTTAAGCAAAAGTGAAGCAATAACTGCCTTTGCTCATCCAGAAATAATGTTGCAACCTTATCGCATTATCCCCTAAACTGATCTATAAGGATAATTGCTTCTTGCAGTGACGGGTTTCCGTTAGGCAAAATGAGCCAATGACCCTGAAATGTGGCAGTAAATGACACTATTACAGGCCTGCATTAGGACAATGCATTAAGGAAATGAGAGGGAGCAGAACTCTTAATGATACTACGAGAATGCCTCCAGGCAACAAAACATCACTTTGGCCTAATGCGAGGGACCTGGTTTGTGTGCGGATCAATGCCTGCCCGAGCGCGCGGCTGGGACGAGAGCTGCACACACACAGAGCCAAACACTCGGGTGAAGAAGCCACGCTGGGTAGAACATATAATGCGATATACAAAAATAAACATAACCCGTATAGCCTTAACAGACTGTTGGGGCAAGCGAGCACTTATGAAGGCCGGCACGGCACACGAAGAGGGGTGGGGTCGCCAACACCACGCACGGCCACCTTTGTCTCTCCAATGGCGATGTTTACACAACGCACCAGGTACTCATTTGAGGCCGAGTCGACCTAGGGGAGGCCCAAGACCACTTAAGATAATTGTCACTGGTGTTAGCCGTGAGAGCGGGAATCAAGCTCGGATCGACAGGTTCGCTGCGCAGTGCACTAACCACTATACCACTGCTCTCCAATAACAAACACACGCGCACACGTCCAACTGTGCACTGTGCTGTGGACAAACACTGGAAGGTGACACTAATATGCTAGGCAAGTCCAATGTGGACACTACAAACGCATGTCCATTGCAGAACAGACACCACTGAAAAATATTGGATCTTAACTTCGATTCTTCACAATTTTCTACAAAGGGCTGTAACCAAATCCTCTAATTACAGCATTCCGCATTGTTTCTGAGCATAGCAATAGATGACAACACACACGAGCGATCAAATATTTGTTTTTGAGAATTTTCCAGGGCATAGGCCCTGGCAGTGCTATGGCAGCAGGAAGCACAGGGCCAGCTGTGCTACGGTTGCAGAATCTGACTGAAGGATGCAATGGTGAGGTGTGTTAGCATTAACAGCAGCAGCTCGTATGGCCTGTTGACCTAAGATTTGAAATACATACCCATGTGTCTGTATAAAAGACAGGACGGTAGCCACACTTTCCTATTAAGGCTGACGGTTCAGTAATGTCCAAACCCCAAAGCCAGTGTCTGTGGGATAGCTGTGTTCTTAATGGATTTAGTGCAGACACATACACAGGTGTAAGCAATTGTGACTGACGGATCGGAGCATGACTGGTCGGCTCTGTCCATGAGCGGGGGGATTGCACCGTGATGTATTTTGAACTTCTTTCACACCGTACGTGGCCAACCATGCTCATCCGAGCTGCCATAATATCATCAGTCATGCTGGCAGAATTGCCGCCACCATTTCTGCCCCGCACCTAACTTGCATTTGATGAATGAACTCGCACTCGACCAATGTTGCAGTGTCGAAAGGCGCTTTCGCACAGCTCAGGCATAGAGAAAAAAAACCCCATTGGTGAAACGTTTTCCATCTGCCACAATCTTCCACCACTGTGATATCTGCCTGCTATGTAAATTGAGACCTGGACGTTAAAACAACTCAGATGACAGGTCTTAAAAGTTGTAGACAAGTTCTACTTTTTTCAGAGGCCATTATTCACAACTTTTTCACACAAAAAGCTGTCAACTACTTTATGGCAAAAAATAAATAATCACGCGATAACTTTAAAGCACACCAACGTTTATAATGGTTGGTGCAATCGTGAACTTTTACAATGACAAAACAAAGAAAGAATTAAAAAAATTATAAACAAAAAATCGTCATCCTGTTGACTTCCACTGGCCTGCTGTTTACCCAATTTGGATGCAGGTCTTGACATTTAACATCTGTAATGGTGTGGACAGATTCATGAAGCTAACAGACCTGGGGTTATTAAAAAACAACCATTACAGTCCTTTTCCTGGGTTGCTCATTGATGTTCAGCACAAACTTGATTTCAAAATGTACGTGATATGTATGTAACGTGATCTGGCTCAACATCAATAAGAATGGGGCTATGTATAAGCTTCAGTAACTTAAAATAAAAGTACGCTCATCCTTGTTCCCCCTCCCCGGTTAATAAACAGGTAAAAGCAATGTACAGTACATATCGTAAACAAATATCTCCATTTTTTAAAAACTAAAAGTTTACAGAAAGTTGTTTAATAAAAAAAACAAATGAAAATACACATTCAAATCGTTGATAAACGTGTCGAGACGAGCGAATTTGACTGCAAAGCGCGTAGGCATGTTCCATACGCTTCTTTTTTAAATAAAAAAAACAAACCTTCAGATAATTTTCCTTGGGCTCTGAAATAATAATAATCGGCAAACTGAAATGCTCAGTTGAGAAACAAAGGGCCTTCAAATTCCCGTACTTCTTCAAATAAATGCATGGAAGCCTCTAACTGCGGTAATTCAAGGGGCCTGTAAGTTGGGGGGGGGGGGGCGGCGGTGCTGGGGAAACGCGATGACAATTTTGTGTGGGGGGGGGGGGGATTTCAGTCGGAAGGGTGCAAGAGATGGGGGAGGATATAAAGAACACGGGTGAAGGGAAAGGGAGTGTGAGGAGCAGGGGAGTTGTGAGCAAAAGGGCTCCGACAAGAGGAAGTGGGGGGGGGAAGAGACGCCAAGCCGAGGCAGGAGGTGGGGCAATATAATGCGCATCACCCCTCCCCGCCTCCCCCCCCAAAACTCACCGCCCCACATTTTTGCGGGAGCAGATGGGGAGCTTCACTGCAGGGCCCGTCACAGATGATTAATGAGGCTACCTTAAAAAAAAGTGCCGCCAGACCTGGCGACAGTCACACAAGCCTGCCTGCCACGTCGCTGCAGTCCTTCCACTGTGTGCCTCCATGGAAACGTGCATCCAACAAATTTGTTAGTGCCAACCAACAAAACACATTTAATTTAGGCATTTGAGTAAATATTCTGCCACACCACCCCCTGACTAACCCCCACCCCCGCCGCCCTCTCCAGACTGCCCCCACCCCTTCTTTTTAGATCCTTTCAGGCACACCCCAATCGTCATGTGCAGCCAATGTGGGAAAACATTTATGGATCCTAAAATTAAAGAAAATGCCATCGCTGTGGAAATCCTAGTCAGAAAATACTTTACGACACTAAAACACACACGAATAAAATGTTTAAGATGAACATCAAACGTACTGCTGTGTGTCCTTTGAAGGAAATTCGTCATGTGCGCCAGACAGGAATCTCATTAAACCAAACTTGAAAATGTTTGCCAGTAATCGTAATACTAAGTTAAAAAAATACAGTATCATATTATAACAATGTGCAATGTGAGCATTTATTTTATTAAAGAGAAAGAGTAATTCACACAAATACAACTTCTAAGGGCAGACTTCAAGCATTCAACATCAACAGCACACATCTTTTCAGGTTTGTCTAATGTTCAAATAATCAAAACAATATGATAGGGTAGGCTGCTTTACATTATGAAGCTGTTTTATCTGAACTCAAAAAGCGCTGGGACATATTAACTTAAATTTGAACTGGTTGATGCCTTCAATCAACTGCAGCTGGATTCGCACAAAGTTCTTGGCACTATGAGCCGAAATGGTAAATTTCACATTATGATGAATGAACAGCGATGTGTCATTGTGCTTTATATCTACGGAACAAAACAGATTTATTCATTTCAATTTTAATTGGCCTGTTTAAATGATTTAATACCATTAATTGTGTAAATGTCTCTACTTCCCTCCTCTCCCAGCTTTTGAAACAGCCACAGACGCAATCATTTTTAATAACAGAGCAGAGGGCCATGAGATCATGTGTGTGTGTTGACAGCATTGGGTTTCAGGTTGCAGAACATCTCCCACCGCTTAAAACTGTCCAACAATTCAGACGCAGAACTGCGCAATGCCATTTCCATTGAGAAAGTCCCATTCGTAGCGTAAACAAAATCCTCATTAGGTTGAATTTAAGTGGTCTTTTTTTACATTTTTCAAACGCCATGCGGCATTTCTGAGGCTATGCGAACCCCCTGCCCCAAAACGAAGAGATGGAAACAAAACAAACTGCGTGAAAAAAAGCTGCCAAAAAGCCATTTTAAGCAACCATTATTTTACGTTCTATTTTAGTCAAGTTAGTATTTTCAAATGGCCAATCTGATCAATTACCTTCCTCAAACAATCCGTGCCAAAATTACCCACATACATAGACAGGAAGGCAACGAAGCGCTGCAGCCATTGATTCGCAAACTGCAATCGAAGAGGATAACTGAAGTGTTACAAAAGCACAGGAGGATGATCCTATTGGGCGGGCTGCTCCAGGAGACTTGCCGTTTAACCTGGCCCATGATGAACTGTGAGTACACACCTCTCCTGCTCGGCATATGAAGCTCTAAGGTGACAATGCTCCAGAGACTGGTGAATTGTGTGCATTACTAGGCCACTGGACACCTGGGTCTGCGGGTCATTCTGTGCACTGTGCTCTCTTGGGCGTGGTGGTTCTTTGACAATTGACCAACACATTACACGAGTTATTTGAGACCAATCGGCCATTGTTGGTTTCCATTCATTGATGGCATGTCAATCACATTTTCATGAGTGAGCTGGTTAATGTCCTACCTTTAAACAAAACATTGAATGCATTAGCAAGGCACATTTTGCCTTCTTGCGATATATATGAAAAAGCATTTCAATGAATGGAACCATCCAAACGAAGAGCTCTTCTGCACTATTTGTCACCTGGTATTGAATATCAACGGCCTAATGCAGTTTTAATACTATAACTTCTACCGCTACAAATGGTAAATCATAATACACGCAAAGAGCTCATTTGCAAGAAAGATCTGTCCTTGCCCTAATTGGACAAACTTAA